TTTGTATTGAAATAAAACAAAAATCATACAAAACAATAAGTGAACACAGAATTTTACTTATGCTCATGTATTTTAATTGTCTCACATATGTAAAATTGGTAATTTTATTATACTTAAATAAGTAGAGATGCATATAGCAAGGTCTAAGGATTCATTTATTAAATAATATTAACAACATTTTAACTAACACGGAAATTCCACACATGACTGAGATTACAAGGGTACCTTCTTGTGTGTGCCCGACTTACTTCACTTGACATGATCATCTACATGTCATTCATTATGTTTCAAGTGACAGGATTTTGTGATTTGAGGGTTCAAATATATACCAAGGCATCACAGTTTTCTTTTTGCTTCAGTTCCTGAACTTCTATGAATCAGACCCATGTACCTGCATTTATGAGGCAAGTGCTCTGCCACTGAGCTAAAATACTAAGCTCACGTTCTTTATACTGGTTGTTTCTGTTTGTTGGCTATCGTGAATGATACTGAAAAAAATCATGAAAGTGTGCATTTCTGTTCAACGTGCTGATATCATTTCCCACGGATGTATACCCAGCCCCAAGACTGAGACACTGTCTTCCATGGTGTTTATGATAATGTGCATTCATCCCAACCATATCAAGAAAATACCTGTTTTAAGCTGTGTCCCAAAAATTGCCTGAAATTATATGGCTTTGATGCTTACCTGATTACTGAACCACATGTTGAAAGAATTTTTTCATGAAATATGCATTGGTAGAGTCATTATGAAAAGTACTACAGTGACTCCTTAAAAAACGTTAGCATAGTTTTAGTCTTGGTGTTGTGTGACTGAAATTCTAGCATATAGGAGGATGAGGAGGAACAATGTTGACATCAAGACCAGCGTGGCATACATAACAAATTTCACGGCCAGCCTGTTTCAAAAGATAATCAGCACATGGCCCAGAAATAATTTTCTGATTAAACACTCAAGAAAAGGAAAATCAGTTTCTCTGTGTCTACATCATCATATTCACACCAGCTTCACTCTCAGTTTGATGGCATGATTAAATTACCTATCATCAAATGAGTGGACAAAGGAAAAATGTCAAACACATGCAATGAAGAATTATCACACCTTTAAAAGGGAAGAATCCTTCCATCTTTTACCACATGATAAACCTGGAGGACACTGTGCTAAATGAAACAAGCCAGGCACAGAAAGACAGATACTGTGTGATCTCTAGAGTAGCCAAACACTCACGGAAGCAGAATTGAATGATGGCTTTCAGGGACTGGGAAATGCAAGAAATGGGGAGACAACACTCAAATGGTACAGACATTCAATGATCTATGATTGATGAGTTCTAGGACCCGAATATGCATCATGATAATTATAACAATGTGACCTGTATATTTGAAGTTTGCAAAGAGTACAGAACTGTATTGACCAGGGCTAACCCTCCTTGGACAAATTCCAGGCATCGTTTTTCCCAGTCTTACAGACTTATCTAGAAGCTTTACAAACACCAACCACCCTCTGAAACACCATTTTCATAATTAGCAGATTTGCTCTGCCAAAATACTGCCTCAATGTCAGGCTAATTTCACAGTTTCTCTCTATTCTTGAGTGTTGACTTCCTAATTCTTCCTTACCCCATTAAGCCTCTGTACCTTCAAACAAGACTGTGTAGAGGTTGTGTGCACTGTTCCAGAAGTTCTCAGTGATCTGTGTTTCTTTGTACTTTCAGTATTTGTGTGTGGAGGCACATGCCAAAGCATGTGGAGACAAGAGGACATCTCTATGGAGTCGGTTCTCTCCTTTCACGTGGGCAGAGGAATGTATGGCAAGTGCATTTATTCTCTGAGACATCTCACTGGCTCCAGGAAGTTTTGATAACTTTTAGTCACCTTTTCTAATTACTTATTAAGGATTTACCATGCATGAAGTAAATTAAGCACACAATAATGAAACACTTCATTCCTGTGACATAGCATTTGTTTTCTCCCTGGTGTAGCAGCACAAATCAACAAAGCACAGTGTTTCATACTATAGTAAGTGATATGAAGGAAGAATAAACAGGGGGTTATTACAGAAAAATAAATGGCAAGCTACAAACTCAATATTAAAAAGAATACACAGGCCAAGCTTGAGGAGTGTTGTGTGTCTATAACCCCAGCACTTATGGGGCTGAAAAGGGAAACTTATGCATGAATTTAAGGGACACAGGAGGAGACAGAGAGAAGAGAGGAAGGAAATGACGTAAATACTATGTGAAATTCTCAAGAAAATTTAAAAAGTAAAAGAAAGAATGGAAGTAAAGAAGGAAGGAATGAAAGAAAATGAAAGAAGAGAAGAGAAAAGAAAGGAAAAGAAAAGAAAGACTCTCCCTTGGCTACACAGCGAGGTTCTAGTTGAAAACTGAAAAGAGGAATGAGGAGGACTTCCAGTCCACAGGGTTGGAAAACACAGAGGTGACTAAATGGATAAATAACTTGTTGTGTTAGTGGACAATAGATAAGTATGATATGTGAGTTAAAGCTGGGAAAGCAATGCATCCAAATCATCACAGGCTGTGGGAAAACAACAGTTTTGTATGCTGAAATGCTTAGTAAAGCATGGGCTGCTCACTTCGGGCCTGTAGATATGGCTGTGTGGTCAACATCACTTGCATTGCAGTCTTGAGCACAGAAGCTTGGGTGTTCCATGAATGACTATAACTCCAAGGGATTTAAAGTCCTCTTTTGGCCTAGACGTGCTCATAGGTACACACACGTGGGTGCACACACACAGGGAGAGAAAGGGGAAAAAGAGAAATAAGTCATAAGAAAAGAAAACACGCCATACATAGGGTTCTGTATCACAGCTAAGTTAACTGTTATTACAGGTTTTTCCTTTTGGGCCACCAACTAGCTCCCAGATCATGACACAGAGACTTATTATTAATTATGAATGTTCATTTTATCTTATGTTTGTCCCACTAGCTCTCATGATTTACTTTAACATGTTTCTCTGTCTATATTTTGCCTTGGGTTTTTTTTTACCTTTTTTTCATGCTGTATGTCCTACTTTCCCTGCTTCTTCTGTGTTTGGCTGTCTGGTGGCTGCCTAGATGTCCCTGGGTGTCTCCTTTCCCTAGCCTAGATTCATCCTTCTACTTATTCTCTCTGTCCACCAACTCCACCTATATAACTATTATATAATGCTACTATATAGCTACTATGTAATAGTTACTGCAGGACTATTGGCTATTCAGCTTTTTATTAGACCAATCAGGTGCCTTAGATGGGCAAGGCAACACATCTTTACATCGTTAAAGAAATGTAGCATAAACAAATGTAACACACCTTCACATAGTTAAAGTAATATTCCCCAACAAACCGTCATCACATTTCCACTGAAATAAGGACAGACATGTGCTCCAGACACTAAACTGATAGGAATTCAACGGGTTGTCAAGAGCAAATAGATTCCTTTCACTGGCAATTTCATCTTTAAACAAGAAACAAGGCCACCACAGTGTGTAAAATCATAAGACAAGAAACCCCTTGGCGCATGCAGACAGCATTCTGTCCCTGAAGTGAACTGCCCTTTTCTAGTTTAAGAACAGGGTAGAAATTGACTTAGGTAGTTGGATCCTAAAAGAGGATATGAATCATTTCTTAGAATGTCCCATGATTGAGCAATTATGTCATGTCATCCTATTAAGGAAGAATGTAAAGGCACAAACCAAAATGTTGATGTTCCACAAAGAAAGCATTTTGATTTATTCAACTCAAACAGTCATTGATGATTACAAAATAGTGGCACCTAAAAATGATTATTTATTTGAGAATCCTTGATCATACGGTATTTAAAATCACACAATAATATTAAAATGAGCTTGACAAAATGCATAACCAAAGAAAGAAGTAGTTGGAGAAAATATTAATTGGTCTTAAAAAGAAAATAAAACAATTATTTTGGATTTGATTTATCCCGCCTGATGAAGAATAAAACAGGCCAGCAACTGAGAGCCAAAAGTTAACAAATCAATCAATAACTTATGAACAGGTGACTCAAATGACACCACCTCCCTCTCACCAGGATATCATTCCCAGAGTGTTAAAAATCACTCACTTGCTGAATTCACTCCTCAATAATTCTGGGTGAATACATGAATCCCTGGAAGAAAAGAATTTAATGTCCCTCTAATAATCAAAGCCCCAGGAATCTGCTCATCACTGCCTCCCTGAGGCTGAGATTACAGACACACACTACCATGCTCAGCTTTCATTGGAATGACAGGAACTAAGATCTTCTTGATCTTACAATAAGTATTTTACAAGCTGAGCTAACTCCCTAGACCTTGGATTTCAGATCCTTTTCAACTGGGAATGTTTAAACAGTATACCCTTAGTAGCTATTTTATAAAAGTCATCACAGTTGTTACGGATTAGTTATTTGGGTGTTTGTTTATCATCTCTTTTTCTCTCTAGTCTTATTCATTTATCTACTTCAATCCTCCAGGATAGAGAAATTTAAGCCATAAATTCTTTGCTCGTCAGTTGGTGGGTGTAGTCTTTTATAAGAATAGTCTAAGAAAAGATGGAGAAATATGAGCTAGTCATGGTTCAGTTCAGTTGAATAACAGTCCCAGATGAAATGGCCCTATCCAAGGAATTGAGATTAAAGAGGATCTGGACACAGTGTGGATTGTGCAGCATCAACCACATGATGAAACAAAGATTTATTGTCTTTGTTGTAAATAAAAGTCACCTTTACACTCGATTAGAAATGGTGAACTTCAAGGCCGCACTCTCCACTATCAAGGTTTATGTTTCCATAGGGAAACTCTCCAAAAACCTCGTGGTTTCCTGCAGGGTTTGACTTTCATCTCACATTCATTTTTTGTCCCATTGATTTTTTTTCTCTCAGATGTGCTGAGTTACCAACTACATTAGTAAAAAAAACACTTCTTATAGGCTTTCTATTTTAGATATTGGGGGACTGTTGGGACTTGGGGCCTGGTTATTAGACCCCAGAATCCCTAGCATTGAGCTAAATAACTAGTTCACATAGATTTGTCTTTAAATGTCATCTCAATTCATGACAAATATAAAACTAGCATCCATACAAAATAGATGAATACTTCCATGTGTTATATTTCAATTTAGTTTGATGAGGACTGTATTGTAAAGCAAAATGAACACATGGACAATGCAGCTGATAAAATTTGAATGATTAGATTATTATTCAGTTATTGTTGAATATTGTTATCCCCTGTCTCTGTACAGATTCAGGTCTGTCAATGGTATAAAATAGTAAGCGGAATATAAATTAACTCATGGAGGAACTTTCCAACTAAGATACAAAGCCAAAGGAAACAATTCATGGATTTTACTTTAAAAAAAAGTCTTCCAGGCATGGTGATTGGTACCTACAATGCCAGTGCTCAGGTAGCTGAGGGTAAGAATATTGCTACAATTTCTAGGCCAGTATGGGCTATATAGTAAGTTCCAGATGAGAGCAAGCTACAGAGTAAGATGCTATCTCATGGGAAAAAATTGTGTGTGCTCAGCCTGTCACATAATAAGGTAACAGCAAATTAAAGTGAATTATATTTCATAAGGCTGACAAGGATTAAAAGGAGTGAAACTATCAAGCCTTGGCAGTTATACAAAATAGCTATTTTCCTACATGTTTAGTAGAAGGTATAAAATTGGAGAGGCCACTCTGGAAAACACATTGACAATCTATCAGAACAGTACATCTCTGCTGACTCAGCAATTCTTCTAAGAAATGGTTCTAAAGAGTTATCTACAGATTAGTAACAAGAAACACATAAAAGAATGAATTTTTTGTCATCAAAAGTTACCATATTCTAGTTTTATTCTTATTTAAAAACTGAGATAAGCTTTACATGCTAGTGGATACCCTCACCCCAGTGTTATAGGGGAAGATGTCATAAGATGCAGAGGTTAAAGACATCTGCTAGAAATCCATAAAACAGCATATAAAAAAATAAATGGGAAGTAGTAACAGAACACATAACAGTCATGACTTTTTTTATAACCAAATGACCTCAGCTGAGGATACACAGTGGAGCAGGAAAGACAATGTGACACAGATCCACTCATTGGGATGGCTACATTTTCTTTCTATTTATTTGCTTATTTTAGCTTTTGTGGAACAACACCATGTGGTGTTGCCCAGGCTAGTCTCCAACTTAACATGTATTGTATTTTGAATATTTGCATCTGTGTTCATTGGGAGACTGGCCTTGAAATTTCATTTCTTGTCATTGTCTTTACCTGGTTTGGGTACCAAAGTTGCTAGCTTTGAAAAACAAAAGATCAAAATAAATAAATAAAAAGTTAAGTAGCATTTTTCCATTTCTATTTTGTGGAATAGTTTGAAGAGCATTGGCACTAAATTTTAGGGGTGTGTTTTCTGGGGGGTCATTAAATGTAATTACATTATTGTTTCTTTTTCCTTTCCTCCCTCCAACCCCTTCCCATGTATTTCCCCTTTGTTTTTTCTAAGGGAAGCTGTACCCTTGAAGTCTCAACAGTGTGGCTACCTAAACAAGACCTGAGCAAGGGCATCCCAACAGACAAGATGAAAACATGAGATATGGAACTCTCACAAGGTGCCAGCCCTCAAGAGAAAAGCTACAGGACACTAATGAATGCTAGGAGCAGGGGAATAGCCTACCAGGAATAGTCCCCCAAACATATGAGTTTTTTCCTTAAGGTCTGGTAGAATTCAGCATGAATCAATCTGAGTCTGGCCTTTCATTTCATTTTAATTGGTGTACTTTAAATTCTTGCATCAGTTTGATTACTTGTTAAGGATTTACTTAGCTTGTGTATATCCTTCATATTTGCTTTTAGAAGAACTTTATGTCTATAAATTCACTCATTTCTTTTATATTACCGAATTCATTGAATATAGATTTTTTTCAAACCACATCCTAATGATCTTCAGGATATCATTAGAAATCTGCTGTAACGTTCCCCCTTCATCTTCAATTTTAGTAATGGCTAATAGTTTATGGTGGTTTTTTCTTTTCAAAGAAACAGCTCTTTTATCAGGTTATTTATATTATTCATTGATTTCTGTACTAATCTTTTATTTCTTTCTGTCTGCTGATTTTGACTTTGACTTTGCCTTGTTTTCCTAAGACCCTATGGTGTGTGATTATGCTATTTATTTGCTATTCCTCTGGTAGGTTTTAACATGGCAGTCCATGGGCTTCTTGGAATAACATGTATTCTGCAGTATTTGTGCATTATCTTACAGATATCTATTAGGTACATTTGCTCTATTCTACCATTTACTCTAATTTTGTTTTCAGTCTTGATGAGCATTGCTAAGAATCAGTTGTTAAGATCACTCACTATTATTATTTTGAGGTCAGTCTGTGCCTTTGTATCTGTAGTGTTTTTATGAGCACAGTCTTTAGAGTGTGTGTGAGTCATGTGTGTGTGTGTGTGTGTGTGTGTGTGTGAGTCATGTGTGTGTGTGTGTGTTTTAACTTGTTCTATCTTCTTTCTGCATTGTTGATTTTCATTTAATCAGTATAAAATTACCTTGATCTTTCCTACGTAATTTTGGTTTGACCATTACTTTGTCAGATAGATAATTAGAACACAGCATCTGCTTACATTCTAGTTCTTTTTTCTTGAATTCCCTTGTCCATCTTTTCACTCTAAGTTTTTATTTATCTGCCAGTGAGCTGGATTGATTGCAAAAAAAAAAAAAAAAAGAAAAACAAGTGATTGGGTCCTGGTTTTACCCAACTGGTTTGTCTTTGTCTCTTGACTGAATAACTGAGACCATTAACAGCTACAGCAATTAGTCTATAATTGGTCTGCATTAATTCCTATTGTTTGGTTCTTTATATAGTGTGTGGTACTTTTGCATCCCTGATTCACTTATTTTTTGTCTTGGCCCATCCCCCCTGTAACCTCATAGATGTGTTTATCTGTCTCTTTACTGGGTAGAATCCTTTCAAGTACATTCATAGTGCTGGCTTAGAAGTCATGAATTCTCTTGCATATATTTATTATGGGAAGATTTTCTTTATTCTTCATTTACAGAATGTCTTGCTGGGTTCAGTAACCTAAAGCCAAATATTATCATTCAGAGATTGAAATACGTTATTCTATGTCCTCCAAACTTTTGGAGTCTCAGCTAAGAAGTCTGCTATTATTCAGATGGTTTTAATGTTATATGTGACTCGGTGTTTCCCTCTTAGTGTTTTCAATATTCTTTCTTTGATTTTTTATGCTTAGTTTTCTAAGGATAATGTAACATGGGGAGGTTTTTTTCCTTGTCCTATCCATTAAGCATTTGAAATGATTCTGTGATCTGGATAATTGTCTTTCCTCAGATTTTGAAATATCAGAACTATATATATATTGAATATGTTTTCTATGACTTTAGCTTCTCCATGTCCATAATTTGTGACTTTGGTCACTTAATGATGTCCTATAGATCTCGTATTTTCTTCTTGCTTTATTATTTTATCTTCGTTATGGTGCGAGTGTTATAATTCATCTACTCTTTCTCCTGGCCCTGATATCCTTTCACTTAACCCATTCTATTGATAAGAATCACCATATTTATTTGATAGCTGGATATGTTCCTCTTACCAGAGCTCGGGCTGCCTGTCTGTCAGCCTGCCTGGAGCGAGCTTGAGAATACTTGCTTCAGTGAGTTTCAGATGAGGTAGTCTCATGTGCAGTGTTCACGGGTTCTCTGCCCATCTCACATGCAGGGTTCATAGGTTTTCTGCCTCTCCAAGTCTAGTGTATTTACGGGGCAGGGGACAGGTATGAAGGTTTAGAGACATTGTTCTGCATGAGTTTTTTCCTCTGCTTGACAGAACAGTTGGTTTGTGGAGGCTTCCTCTTGGAATCTGACACTTCCTTATCCCAAAACAATGAAGCAGCCGTTAGTGATGGGGATGGCAAACCCTGAAGGACTTGCTGGTGTTGCATTTGTGAGACTTGTGGCTCTGTTTTCCAAGTTTCTGATTCTGCTGCCTTTGCCTCTGGAGACTTTACTTTCCCTTTGTTTCTGGCCCCAGAGCAGGGATAGAGGGGATTCTACTCACTCTCTATTGCTTCACTCGGTGATGTGAGTTATAGTCGTTTCCCTATAAAGCAATCATTCAGTGCTTCTGCATTTTATCTTACAGTCAGCTGTTTACACAATCCCCCCTTGCTATGCTTCTCAGCTCTTTTTGGAATCATGGATCTGATGACTTCTTTCAGACCTAGGAGGATGCAGGAGACTGTGTCTTGCCCCACTCATCATCTTTGCAAGTTTGTCATTAATGTTTTTACTGAGTTGTAATCAATTATCTCTTCAGAAAGATCTCTCCTTAGAGAAACATAAAGTGTGAATATGCCTGGTTCACCAAATGACGCTGGATAGGGTGAAAGATGAAGACAGCTAAAACATATGTTTCTTTAATAGCTGTGAGAGAATGTTTAGAATTGTTTTTTAATTAGATGATGGTGAAGATTATACAACATAGTGGGTAGTAAAAATCACTTATTATCTACTTTACAATGATAAATTTTCTGTTTTGTGAGTCAATCCCAATCTTTAATCGTATATATTCTTATATGAACTAAATTGATTTTTAATATGGGGGCATCCAATAGTTTGTCACTTAGCTCCCCCAATAGTCATAGAACAAAAAATACAAAATTGTGACTGAATTCAATGACTAGACTGTTAAATGTACATATATATATTGAGTTCATTTTAAAGATCATAATTTAGATAAAATTCAACATTTTAAAACATATTTTTCTACATAAAAACCTTTATATGTATGAAGTTCACATAACATCATTTAAAGGTGAGGATGTAATTTTATCACTAGACCCAAGATAAATAATAAATAGGCATTTATTGGAGGACAATTACACAGAAAAATACAAAGAACTGCCAGAGCATTTCCCTGCTCTTCCTACCAGATCCATTGACCCAACAGAAAGCTCTCAAAGGAAAGCCACACCTCAAGCTCCTCTCTTTCTGCTTCTATCTGCCTGAAGCCACACCCAAAGGGGTGTGTCTGCCGTTTCAGGTCCACAGATTACACTCATTCTTAGAATTCTACACCTTTATGTAATAAATATGCCTAAACTATAAATAGCATGACAAATACTTGTCCTTTATAGTTCATCTTGGCACTAATCAATAATAAAACTGTTTTTAAAATCTAGTTCCAGAGCAGAGAAAGTATGGGTGCAAATATGGTATTTTATATAAAAATAAAATTGATAATTAACCTATATTTATAAATACTAAATTATTTAGTTGTACTTTCTGCACAAATGTATGCCTGTACACATAAAATTGATAAGCCAATGCATTGGCACAAATAAATCAACAACATAGCAGCCTTAGCTATAATTGGCTTATGGTGCATCTTAACTCCCATTAAGATATTATACAATAAAATGCACAGAAATGTTAATGTTATAACATTCAATTTTATAGGGCTTTGTAAAGAACATTGATAATTATGATAAAGAGGGGGAATGCTTGTGTTTGATGCTACAGTCTGTGTTCTGAAAATTGAGATGGTGAGGACAATGGAGGGGACTGAGACAAACGGTTACAATGTTATCTGCTTGATGCAGAAGCATCTCCACTCTCCCAGTCAGTTCAAACAAAAATGACTGAGGACTCCCACATTTAAGCTAAGCTACGGTACTCATTTTATAAATCCTTTTGCTAAGTTATAAACTAAAAGAATTAACCCCATTTCTGCTATGCTGGTAGACAGGAGCCCAGCATAATTGTGATCAGAGAGCCTTCATCCAGCAGCTGCAGGTAACAGACGCAGAGACCCACAGCCAAGCATTAGCAGGAGCTCAGGGAATCCTGCAGAAGAAGGGGAGGAAGAATTGTTGGTGCCAGTGTTGTCAAGGGCATCAAAAGAAAACCCACAGAATTAACTAACCTGGGCTCATAGGGGCCCACAGAGACTCAACCATCAGTCAGAGAGCATGTATGGGTCTGACCTGGGCCCTCTGCACATATGTGATTGGCTTGATCCTCTTGTGGGACTCCTAACAGTGCGGACAGGGGTTGTTTCTTGACCCTTTTGCCTACTTTTGGAACTTTTTCCCCTACTGGGTTACCTCGTCCAGGTCCAGCCTTACTATGGGGGGAGATGCCTAGTCTTACTGCAACTTGATAAACCATGTCTGGTTGCTGTCCCTTGGTACCCTGCTCTTTTTCTAAAGGGAAATGGAGGAGTAGAGCCGAGGGTGATGGAGCGGGGAGGGGGTGTGGACTGGAAGGAGAGGAGGGGAGAAAACTAATGTTGGGATATAATATATGAGACAGAAAAAGTTAAAAAATAAAAAGAAAGCCTGCTCCCCAAGTAGCTAATTTTATCCACCCAGAAAAAGTGCTAATATTTAAATTAGTTTCAATTGTTCGAAAGGCCATAGCCTGTCTGTTTGATGGCTTAAAATATGAAAATGGGCCAGGTCTGCTCGGAATAACAGACAGCAGGTGCTTTGCGCTGCGGTGTGCCCTGCCTACCTGAGGACTAGAGAGAAGTCCCCCACTTCTCACAGTCTTCAAATCCGGACGTAGTCCAATTAGATTTCTAAAATGGAAGGTACAGAAATCGTTCCACTTGCAAGCTGCAGAGAAATGCATCTTTGATCCCTGTTGTGGACAGCTGCTGGAACTGGCTTCCCCACAGCTCGATTCTTCTGAGCCCTCAATGCCACTTTCATCGTGACAGCTCCCTTCAAACATTGCGCTAGCGGCTTTTAAAGTTCCGGACTCCTTACCTAAAAACAATCCAAACCAACCTCGTGCAACAGTTCAGAGGGAAGATATCCAGCCAGGCGTTTAGACACCACCTGGGTCCAGTGAGAGAACTCAGACTCATTAATCTTCAAACACTTGGTAACGAGTGGGAGATTTTTTAGCAATTCAACGAAGCATAACATTTTTATTTCCGGGTTAAGAAGCTACAAAACTCATCATGTAGCTTTACTTTTGAAATAGCCAGTAGAGAATGTCAAGCTTCCAGCTGAGGTCTGGTCCAAAGGATGACTTCTTGGGGTAGGAGCTGTAACAAAGCCATGTAAGCAAAAATGTTGAAGACACCGGAGGTTCCAGTTCATAGCTCTGAGGGGTTTGTCTGCTTGTTTGTTTGTTTTTTGTTTTTGTTTTCTGAAATATTTTTTCCATTCATTTCTGTTGGGATCTGTGCATTTGCAGCAACTAATCCAGATTATTTGGTGAGTGATAAACTATTGTAATCTTCCGTTCCTCTGGTATCCAGTACAAACAGACTTAAACTTAAGAAAAATTGAGGCTTCACCTTCATAAGAGTCAATTTTTATGCAAGAAAAAAGAGAGGTTGGCTAGTTCCTCTAGATTTGCTATTTCTCTGTTAACACAAACTGTTACTGATCCTCAGTAGAAGCCTCCACCAAGTACTACCTTTTACTTTGTGGTAGGAATTTTTATTTCTGTTCCTGCAGAGTTTCAACAGCTTTAGTGGCTTGAATGGATGCTACCCTGCCAAAGACTTATAGTTCCAGTTCCTTCACCAAATAGGAAATAATACAGTGTCTAACATAAAGAGAACAGGCACAAAGGGGCATGTGAGGTCTATCCTGGACCAGCAGTGCCTCCAACAGCCACACATACAAACACACACACAAGCATACATACACACAAAAACACACACAAACACACACAAGCATACATACACACAAAAACACACACAAACACACACAAGCCGGGCCGTGGTGGCACACGCCTTTAATCCCAGCACTCGGGAGGCAGAGGCAGGCGGATCTCTGTGAGTTCGAGGCTGGGCTGGACCGACAGCCTCAAAAACAATACAGAGAAACCCTGTCTCATAAAAACCAAAAAAAAAAAAAAACCACACACACACAAGCATACCTACACACACATAGATGCACACAAACATACACACACAAATGCACACACACAAACATACATACACACACATTCACACACACACAAACACACTTCTGTGATGCTCATCCCCTCCTGCATCCCATCCCAATCCTATGCCTTTATCTGTGCTCACACACCTCCTGACATTTCCTACTCCAGATCATTATTTCACAGCAGCCTTGGTGCCCAAAGAGGTTCAAGAAAAACCTCATGTTCATCACATTTTAATTTTTTTCTGTGCTTTTTATATTACTCCTTCATATGTATTTCTAAGCATATTGTCTCTTCTCTTCTTCAGAATATTAACCATGGGTTTTTTTGTTGTTGTTGTTTTGCTTGGTTTGGTTTCTTTCTTTTTCTGTTAACTATCTTTTTTGATACAGAATTATTTTTCTTGCTTTGTTCTCTGTCCCTCTCAGTCTCTTTCTCTCTGTCTCTCCCACCACAATTTTCTTTTCTCAAATGACTACTTCTTATCAATTGTCCTTTCACATATAAAAATGAGAAGCTGAGGCAGGTAGACCTTAGTATTCATTAGCAAGAGGAAGGGAGGAATCTGATTGTCTAAGATTTGATGTTCAAGAGAAGGGAACATAACATAATATAACATGGTATCATATCACATAACATAATATATTATAACATCACATTGTGAATGTCAGTGTTAAATACTTTGCATGATCTCACTGCTGTTGGCTCCTAAACACGCCTTTGTCTTCTGCAATGGCTGCTGGCGCTATTGCAGGAACTCTTTAACTCAGTTTCCCCAGATTAAGCCAGCTTTTGACTATGACAGGGGTGGTTTCCCACTGCCTGAGTAGATGGGAGGAATCTGGAAGTTCAGCTACCTGTATATAGATTCTCATTCACTCAGGTTGCCAAACATACACCTCACCACCATGTTCCAAGCATTCTGGAAGCCAGATTCGAGTTCCACCTCCTCCAAGCACTTGGGTTCCTATTTGTTCTAATTATGGAAACACTTCTTGATGTCTTGAGTGCTTTGGAATTTCATCTGCTGTTATTTCTTATGTTCTTTTTTTCCTTTGGGTTAATAATTGTTTACTCTTTGATGGTAGTTTACTAAATGGAGAGATTCTGAAGGGAGAGCTTTTAAAAAATCTTCCAAGTTTACATAAAGGAGTTCCATAGCTAACAGTTCATCTTTCTAAAACACTGGCCAGCATCATGGGTATGCTATTATTTTGGACAACATATTATGCTATGTAACAACTACAGGTTTATTAAAATATGCTTTTGGCTACCTTTACAGTATCATTAGAATTTTAATTCCTATCATCTGACATCTTAATTGAGTGAGGTCATCCTACACATGTCATCGCAGTCTACCATGTAAACCAAAACAAAGTGGCAAACATCAGAAGTCATCCTAATTTACCTTGAAACCTGAAGTCCAGGCAGTGTGACTTCACCTGTATACCATGCTTGCTAACATTTGGAAAAGAGACTGGTATCAAGCGGTAAAGTTCAATGAATGAATGCTTGGCACTCATTCTGAGTGGTGGGCTTTCTATTTCCACCTTTATTTAAATGTCAGTTGATAATCAATGTGTGTACCAGTCTCTGAACGCTCCTCCAAGTCTGCTTCCTGTCGTTGGAGTAGACGGCTGACAGCAATATACTGTGTGGAGCACAGGAGGAGGGCCCTGAGTCCCCTGGCAGGAATCGCTATTTGTAGACACCTCCTTGGCCTCCTTTTGCACACTATGTGGTTACAGTTCTTCTTTGGGTTTTCAGCACACACATAAAGAAAAGCACATTGGTGGCCTGGAACACAGGGAATGGTTCCAATACCAATTAAGGATTTAATCCCCAGACAGCTGGCCTCAGGCCTTGTTAATGACCCTAGACAGATAGATACATGACGATGTCGACTGTGGGATTTGTATTTGTGTTAGTTCAGTGTCTAGTGCAGTGTCTGATCTATAAGTATTCAGTATATGTTTGTAAAATGAAGGAATAAATGAGAGGAACTATTAGCTTGCTTACGGATAAAAAGCAATTAGGGCTAAATCCTTTCAATTAAGATTACTACTTATCTGTAGCTTCAGAATTAGTCAACCATAAGAAATGTCAGGGTGACTCCTAATAAGGTAGAATTCAATATTGTAATTGGAAAATAATGCAGAAACCAAAACAGTGAAAATAGAATGCTCACACATATATTCTTCAGGATTTTTTAAGACAAATTCTCACAGAATTCTAAAGAGAACCTGTCTCAAGAGATGCAATTGCTACTCTGTTGTTTAGGAAACAAACCTATGTTTACAAAGTAACAAAGGTGAACAGAGAAACATCAGTCTGATATTACTGAAATGAATGATCCTCAAACACACAATAAAGTGCGCGCATGCACACACACACACACACACACACGTATATAAAATGTGATCATAAAAATGATATGTAAACAGATTCATTTTATAAAACAGAAGAGATGGATAAAGGCAAATTTGCAGAAAATCCAAGATGTATTGTAAGAGAATACAGATTTGGGTAATAGGTCACTAAAACCTATTCTTAAGGTATCTGAAGAAAATATTAGATTAATGGAACAAAGTTGGCAGTCAATGCTGTAATATTAAAGAGTCTTCAGTGAGAAACAAAAATGAGGAATAGAAAAAATGTATCTTGTGTCAAGTGAATTCAATGTGTTCTATGAAACTAAATTCCAAGCTCAAAATTGTAAATGCTCTAAACTTCAAAAGTATATGGGAGGTGGGGAAAGAAGCTGTAATTGATATGCATGTATGTGTGTATGTGTGTGTGTGTGTGTGTGTGTGTGTGTGTGTGTGTATGTATGTCAAGGCCCTGTCTCAAACAAAACAAAAAGTTATATATTGTGGGGGAATAAATAAGTTAGCAAACCAAATTTCAGAGTTTCAACTGTGGATGCCAGTGAAGATCTGTATTCAATTTTTACCCAAAACAAAAACAAAACTGTGATTGTGGGTGGCTTATATTTGTGTGGTGGTCATTAGCTTTTCCATTCGGTTATCTTTCCTCAGATACCAGTGACTCAAGACCTACAGGAAACTACCAGTGATTTAAGAACTACAGGAATGTACCAGTGGTTCAAGAACTTCCGAAAACGTCAAGGTGCATCATCACAAGCCCCACAAACTCATTTTACTGCTATGCTTTGTTTATTGTTTATACACATGTTCATGTTCACACACGCCTCAGGAGGATGCAACCTCCAAGCAGCTTATGTCTGTCTACAGAAGAGTGGTTAGCAAGTGCTAGCATGGCAGGTGTTGAGCTGTAGCTCAAAGGATATACAATGTCAGTTAAGAAAGAATGAATTGAAGACATCTATTTGCGATACCATGAGTGTAATTGATAATATAGTCTTGAAAAATTCTGAGATTGTTCTTGCCAAAGGGGAAAAAGGCGATGGGAAGTACTGCATGCTAATTTCCTAGATGTAATCATTCCACTGTATCTGTCTATACGTGTCTCTGTGCAAATTTCAAAACATTGTTTCACATAGTAAGTACATTTTATATTATATTTAATCTACAATTATATTGTTCAATGTAAGTGATTCAATATTGCCTATTAAAAGCATGCACTCAAAACAGAACTAAATCTTTGAAATTATAAAGCTATAAATTTATCAGAAGAACTTAAACCAGGCTATGGGATTGTTCTGAATTCCTGCACGTTTTAAGTTTTTGTCCCCACATACAGTAATTTCCCAATGCCCTAGAAACCTTGTTTTCCTTTTTCAAAGATAAACCATGTTTATGTGATGAAAAACATATTCTATAAATGTATATGCTGCTAAAATTTCTCATTGAAGAACTACAAAAGAGACGTGTTTTCTAATGAATGACCCCAAAACTGAGGTTAGAATGAAATGTGAAAAGAAGAATAAAATTTAAAAATTATCCTCTGATTAGCTAACATGTGTACAGATGTAGAATGGCAAGCAATTGGAGGTGAATTTGAGGAATAAACATTCAGTCTTAGAGAAGAGATTTTCAAGCCACGGGTGGTCGTGTTTACACTGAGATGAAGGGCTACAATCTTCTCTAGTGAGGAATTCTCTGTAGTTAGTAAGAAAAACTTCTCACCTCAGTAATAAGGACTATTGTCTTGTTCGAGGCTAGGGGACTGGAAGGAAACAGCATAATGGGCAGACATAATTGTATTCATTTGTTAGAAAAGTTTAGTGAATGCTCACAAAACTTAGAAGTAGAGGCTGGAAGAGAGACTGGGAGGTCCCAGTAAGACTGGCACATCTGAGAATGGGGGAAAACTCTGGTCCAGGCTTCTCTCCTTGGCTGTCTTCTTGTCTGCAGTGTTGTCCCTGAACCTTTGTTATGTCTCCTTTCTGTATATATGTGTGCACAATTAGGCCCTCTTACTCATTTCTTTAAAAAACAATGGATTGGGATGTGCTTAATGATTTTATTTCAGCTTTTTGACTTATATAAAGGCCTTCCTGCAAATACAGTCACATTCTGAGGTCCTAAGTTTTAGCTATTTGGAGAGTAGGGACATCACAATCCAACCTGTGCAATAATTATGCCTCCTTTCCAAATACCTGATATATTTCAAAAGCTTAGCATTTCATCTCCTTTCGGTGCTCTTAATTTTAAGGAAAAGTCTTTCTCAGTAACAGAGATCTGAGGCTTGTTATTGTGACCAGCCAAGCATGTTTTCCTGCACAATGGTGCACTTGACCTCCTTCGAGCTTCTGTGGTAGACAAGGCACGGAAGTAGACACAAAAAGGATTTCTGATGAAGTACTAGAAATGAGACTTTTAAAGCTTTCCAACCACAAACCTCTCAGTGGCAAATAAACATTGACATTGTGATGTGAGGCACTAAATCTGACTTACAAAAGGAAAGGTTTAAAAATATGCCTCTCTGCTTTCACTGTCACAGAACACCATTTCTTTATTCCTTGAAATCAGTGAAAGCTGGGCTGTGCCCCTAACCACAGAGATTGCAAGCAGGGATGGCACTGGGGTAAAGTGGTAGACACTCCTGTCTCAGACACAAAAGTAGACACCAAAGTAATTAAGATCGACTCTGTTTTAATACAGTATCTTTGTTGTAAAAATTAATGCAATAAGGACAAGGTGGTTTGAATAGGTAAGAGCATTAGTAAACAAGCACAAGGACATGAGTTCAAATCTTCAGACCCATATAAAAAGTTGATTGTAGTCACACATGTACCTGCAGCCCCCAGCACTCTGGAAGGTCTAGGCAAAAGAGACAGGAGGATTGACAAGCTCCAGGTTCAATGAGATATCCTGTCTTAAATGAATAACACTGAGAGTGAAAATAAGACCTCCAATACCCTTCTCTTGCCTTTATGGACACAAATGACTAATGTAATGAGGTATATGAAAAAGAAAACATTAAAAATATGGACAAAGTCTGCATTGTTTTACTCTTGTATCAGTCTTCCATATTACTCAACCTGACTATTTCTGATTATATTTAGTCTATTTTAGTATTTTTAAATTAATTTTATGTGTAAGTTATTGTATTAAACCATTTGTCATATCGCTTCTTTTAAAAAAGGCAAGATCTCATGTAGTCCAGGTTAGCCCTAAACGCCCTGGGTGAGGATGAACTCATAGTTCTCATACCTCTATCGCCAAGGTGTTGGGTGAGTGACACCGCTTTACTTTTTATTCTGGTACTCTGTCTCATGCAGTTCCTCATGTTGGTTCCTCCTGTTGGCAGGACATCTGACTTTAATTGCTTGAACTACTCTTTCTTTTGCCTAGGAGCTATGCTATAGTGGTCAGGGAATTCCACATAGATATGAACACATAGGAAAGGAATTCTGGTCTTCAGTTCACACTGCTTTGAGTGATAGGCCAAGGTCATCATTATGCAATTCTTCTACCAGGTTAAAAACACAAGTTTCGGATCTCCTGGTCTGGGGACTGCAGGCAGGTCAACTCACCTAAGGCTCACCAAGCAACCACCAGCCTGCTGAGATTGCGGGGCCATTCCCATCCCCACACAAGGAAGAGGTGAGTTCCAGCCCCTGCCTGGGGCCAGATTTCCTTCCTCTTGCCCACTCTGGAATCTCCTGGTCTGGGGACTGCAGGCAGGTTGACTTGCCCTTAGCTCACCGAGCAACCGAGAGACTGCTGACAGCACTATCCTAATCCAGTTTCCACCCACCGGGAGAGGGAGTGCCTCAGACCCACCTGCACCCACCATGAGACCCATCAGAGTATTTCACCTGCTTGCATCCACCAGAAAAGAACCTTGGACCCGTACCCATCAGGAGAGGAAGAGACCCCCACCTATACCCACTGGAAGAAGGGGTGGGAAGACTACAATATAAGAGCACAATCAACAACAGAAAAACCAATATGACGCCACCAGAGTCTAGGGACTCTACACCAGTAAGACCTGAGCATCCCAACTCAGATGAAGCAGAAGAGAATGACCTTAAAAACAACTTCAGAAAGATGATAGAGACCCTAAAAGAGGAAATGAGAAAATGCTTTAAAGAAATGAAAGAAAAGACGAACCAAAAATTGCAAGAAACAATTCAAACAGTACAAGGTTTGAAAGCTGAAATAGACACAATAAAAAAATACACACAGTCTGAAGGAATGCTGGAATTAGAAAAGGTGGGTAAATGATCAGGAACTACAGATACAAGCACAATCTACAGAATATAAGAGATGGAAGACAGAATCTCAGGCATTGAAGATACACTAGGAGAAATAGATGCATTGACCAAAAAAAATCGTAAGTGCAAAAAATCCCTAACACAAAATATCCAGGAAATATGGGACACCATGAAAAGGCCAAACATAAGAATAATAGGTATAGAAGAAGGTGAAGAAACCCAACTCAAAGGTGCAGAAAACATATTCAACAAATTCATAGAAGAAAACTTTCCCAAACTAAAGAAAGACACGCCAATGAAGGTACAAGATGCCTAGAGAACACCAAATAGAGTGAACCACAAAAAAAGTCCCTAAGATAAATATGCATGGTACCCCAGAGAAGGGGAATGGGACAGGATCTCCTGAGTGGCTTGGGAGCATGGGGGAAAGGGAGAGGGAGCAGGGAGAAAGAGAGAGGGAGAAGAGGAGGGAAGGGAAGGACATGGGGGAGTAGGAAGTTTGAGTTGGGGGAAGAATAGAGAGCAAGATAAGAGATGCCATAATAGAGGGAGTCAGTATAGGTTTGAGGAGAGATCTGGCACTAGTGAGATTTCCAGAGATCTACAAGGATGACACCAACTGGCAATCTAAGCAATAGTAGAGAGGCTACCTTAAATGCCCTTCCCCAATAGTGAGATTGATGCCTACCTTATATGCCATCCTAGAGCCTTCATCCATTGGCAGATGGAAGTAGAGGCAGACATCCACAGCTAAACACTGAGCTGAACTCCTGGATTCCAGTTGCAGAGAGGGAGGAGTGATGAGCAAAGGGGTCAAGAATTGGCTGTCAAAATCCACAGAACAGCTGACCTCAACAAGAGGGACCCCAGACTGATAGCTGAGAGGCCAGCATAGTGGTGGCCTGGGTGTCAGTGAGAAGGCCTCGGCAATCTATGGGGCCTTGGGTATTTGATCAGTATTTATCCCTGGCATACCAATGGACTTTGGGAGCCCATTCCATGTGGAGGGATGCTCTCTCAGCCTGAACACATTGCGCGGGGGGGGGCGCAGCTAGCCCCTGCCCCAGATGAACTGACAAGACTCTGGAGATCCTCTATGAAGGACCTCACCCTCCCTGGGGAGTGGAGTGAGGATTGGATGGGAGGTTGTGGGGGCTGGTGGGGAGCGGAGGAGGAGGGGAGGTAGAGGAAGCTGGAATTGACATGTGAAGCAAGATTGTTTCTAATTTAAATTTTTAAAAAAAGAGGAAAAGAAAAATAAACACAAGTTTCCCACTCCTACACTAAGATTTAACATTATCCTCTATCTGCTTCCCTTCAAAGTTCATCCATAGGAGAAACTGCAATTAGCCTACCCAAACCACAATCGCCCTGTCCCTGATGCCCAGGCCAGCCCACCTGAGCATGCACATGCGCAGCACAGACTTCCTCCCCGAGCCAAGCCACCAAACCTGCCTCCATGCCCAGAGACACTGACAGAGAGACACCTGTCCCAGAGACACCAATGAGAAAAGGACAAGGCAGCAGAGTCAGCCGCCTGAGCCAACAGGACCTTGGGAGGAGGTACAAAGGCAGCCCTAACTTCCTGAATAAAGGAGTCTGCATCCTGCTCTACTGTCACTGACTCCCAGTGCCTGTGTCGTTGGTGCTGCTTCTTCTGACCTCCTCCCCCCAAAGGGTGTCCCAGTAAGGTAACCCACAACCTCTGGCATCTAGACACGATCCTCGTGGATCCCCGTGCTGGCATGGGTCTCGCCACGCTTGAATCAGGGTGTGTTTTTGTTTTTACATTGCCGCGGCTGTTTTTTGTTTGGGCCCTGATGTTTGCCTTCTGCTGCTGGCAGTGCATCGTCTTTGGATCCTATGTTGGAGCACTTTCACTGTTTCTACCTGCACCCTCTCGGACTCCTCCACTCTCACGGTGCTCTCCGGCGCCCCCTCTTCGGTGACTTACTTGTTCAGTGAGTTGACCCCAGAGTGTTTTGTGTCCTTGGTCCTCGTGAAGGTGAGCGCGGTGATGCACTGCCTTTTCTGTCTCTTCCTTTGTGTCTGTCTGGTATCCCTGGTGCATTAGGTAGGAACATTATTACACTTAGGTCCAACATGCTTCCTGTTTTTGTTCTAGTCTGTCTTTGTCAGTTTTAGACTTTGTTCTTGTCTATGTCTCCTGCCATTAAGAGAATGGGACCCTCCCGCTGTAAAGAGCCTCAGGTGAGGGCATTAAAATCAAATTAGTTACCAGGGGCCTTAAGGTTAAGACTGCTAATCTGGAGTAAT